TCATGGGACACATCCCGGGTGACCGATATGGTCAACTTGTTCAGCGCGGCCCGGGCCTTCAACCGGAACATTGGGTCCTGGGATGTATCCAAGGTGACCACCATGCGAACCATGTTCAGAGATGCGTTTGCCTTCAACCAGAGCATTGGAGAATGGGTTCCATCCCAGGTGACCGACATGCGAGGCATGTTCGACAGAGCTACAGCTTTCAACAAGCCTCTGAATTCCTGGGGTGTATCCTTATCCAATGTGGGAGATTTCACTAACATGTTCACAGGAGCTACGGTCTTCAACCAATGCCTGGACTCCTGGAAAGACCAAATTAATAGCAACCCCAGCAACTTCATTTTTCAGGGCACCTCATGCCCTGATGAAGACTGCACTAGTGCACCTGTTTGCCCCACGACGACGACGACGACGCCTGACGACTCGCGGTGGTGCGAAAACTTGGATGCTTTGGACTATGCCTTGTTGGATAAGAAGGGCAAGTTGGCTACGAAGCAATGCCTCCTGCACTCGCTGATAGAGGACTACAACTTCCCAGACAAGCTTCCTTCTTGGAGCCGCGCATCGCAGGCTGGGCTGACCAGCGTGTTGTGCTTCATCCTGGTCTCACTGGTCGTAGCCGCAGCTGCCTGGCGAATCCGTAGGCAGGGGTCTCTGGTCTATGAAGCGCTGTGAGAAGCAGCGCGATGCTCCGCAAGAATTCGAAAAGAAAATCTGCTGCCGCCGGCTGTTGTGGCCTCGTCAATCCAGAATGCGACCGAAGCCCTAAACCCGAAGCCCTAAGCCCTATAAGCCTATAACCCCTGCAAGCCCATAAGCCCTACAAGCCCTACAGGCGCAGACCTCACAAACATTGAACTCTAACAAGAAGAGGGAGCCCGAGCCCCGCAACAGGAACTCCGGCACCGGGACGCTGAGCCATTCGGGGGCCAAGAGCTCCCAAGCCGGTGGCCTAGATCTACCCATAGGGCTTAAAGTAGTTCTTTATTTTTGGGGTTCAATAGAGTCCTATAAAGTAATCCCCAAAAGGAACTACGATGGGGCCTATGGGTATGGGGTTCCACAGCTGAGATCTCGCAGTGAAGCCCGCAGCTCACAGCGCAGGTTTCGTCCGTGATGCTGAGCCTTGCTTCGATGTGTGCTGGGCTCAGGGCGGTGTTTATGGCTCATATCTATTTATATATATAGCTCGAATTTTTCTATCTATCTATCTATCTATCTATCTATCTATGTATATGGTAGGTATATAATATATATATATATATATACATATGCATGTTTATCTATGTTATACATGTCATTACACTCGGCGTTATACGTGTGTAAGGACGTTCAGAGTTTACGACCCCCGAACCACGACCCGAACTTTCCGATCGTAGCTTTGACCCTGAGTGCTAGGATCAGTTTCGGATTGCCACTGTTGATACGGTGGTCCTCTAAGAGTAAGACATCCCCAACTCAGTTTGGGATGCTGTAGAATGGGGCTCTGTTCCCTTGAAAGCCCTCTACGTCGGTATAGCGCCATGGGAACCTCTAGCAAGCCAGTGGTGTTCGCTCACCGCCAATGTCCCCGACCAACAGACGCTGGATCGAAACTCGAACTGCTTCGTGTTGTGTCTGCGTGGGTCCCATACCTAGTGTACGAGTTCAGGACAGCGCTGGTAAGACCGTGTGCAAACGGAGTTTGTGATCACTGTGATCTCATGACATGGTGTGAAGCCGCCGCAGCTGATTTGTTCCGAAGCCACAACTTGCCATCGCTGCACCGGCTGCAGCGAGATGCAGGCTCGAAGTGCAGTTGACGGTGTATCTTTTGAAACGGCATGTCAGCAAGGGATATCAAAGGTAAGCGCGCGCGACTGACGCCCCAGTCAGTCCCGTGTCTTTATTCGCCCACGTCGTGTCCCTTGTTGCTTCAGGTTCAACTTCCATGCCTGCTGGGCGGCTTATTTGCCCTTGCCCTCAGTCTCAGTGGATGTAACGATCCGAGCACAGGCGATAAGTCCGGACCAATGGAGACGGCCTGCGATGAGTCCA